GGCCAAAAGCCAGAAGATCAAGAAATCAAATTGACGTGGCCTTAAATTACCTTACAAGCTATATTTATTCAAAGAATGACTGCAACTTTAAGAAATCATAGCGCATATTCCCCCATATCAGAAACAAACTGATTCAAGAAATCATAAATACTTAGTATATGAAAAATATGCTGCATACATATGCATGGAAGCTATTGTAGAGAAAAATTATTGAAGGTAACAAAGAACATTTTTGTACTTGCATAATTATCATATATTTAGTACTTTTCTATCAAATGAAAACAAAAATTAGCCTTTCATAATTGTCATGCATTTTTCTGAAGCACAAAATATTTGTTTGATTATCTATTAAAGTCTTTGTAATTAAACCAGTTTCGACCGTGATGATCTACATATTATGCCTTCTGAGGACCAATACACATATATATATAATATATATTTGTGTTTTTTTTCAATCCTTCAAGTACTTTGCAAGACTATACGCGCCATTTAGTTAAAACAAGGAATTATTTGAATCTGGAATAATTTTGAATTCTGGAAAATTGATCAGAAATGTATGATGAAAACTAACCCAACTAAATAGGGTTAGCCATGCGTGCATGGCTAAGGTTAATTTTACTTTCACTATCATTTCAGTATGAACTAACTAACCCACCTTAGCCATGCGCACATGGCTAACCCTATTTAGATGGGTTAGTTTTCATCATATATTTCTCATCAATTTTCCAGAATTCAAAATTATTCCAGATTCAAATAATTCCTTGTTTTAAGGCTAATAAAAACAATAAACACAAGTAACAATAAACACAAGGAACAATAAACACAAGGAACAATAAACACAAGTAACAATAAACACAAGGAACAATAAACACAAGTAACAATAAACAATAGTAACAATAAACAATAGTAACAATAAACTGGTAACTATTCTAGATCCTTTACCATCCACCCTGTTTAAAGAAACGTCCTAAAATACATGGGTATTTAATCAAAGTATTTGAATTTAATTTTCAAAATCATATAAAATATCAGTGTAAAACAGAACAAAAGTGAATTCACTTGAAAAATATGAACGGCTATTTTAACCGGGATACATTTCACTCCAAAATTAAACTATATGTATTTCTATTGAAATATAAGGAAAAGGGCAAAATGAAAACTCATATCCACCAATCAAAGTATCAACTGTTAAATCCAATAATGCAGTTAAGTAACTGATGAAAAATTTTGTTCATTTCTCGCAGAAATTTAGTATAAACGTTCAGTTTATAGCACCCCCCCCCCCCATTTCCCTTTTACATAATTTGTGGACCCACCCTTGAATATAAACAACAGGGAACTCAAAACTGACAGCGATCTTATGATAAATGAGGTCTGTATAAGGCACGGGGGAAGGGGTGGTGTCACTTCTGGCGTGCTGCTGAAATTAAAAAAAAATATCCCCTTTCATATATTGCCGAAGACCAAAAATCTGATCCATGTTATAACTTATATATTTATATAGGAAGTAACCCACAGCCACCCCCGTGGTATAGGGAATATTGAGATAGGGGAGGTTAACTTGCCCTTTTTATTGATTTAAAAGTCGATTGAATATAGGCAATATTTGAGGCAAAACATATGGCATATTGAAATGTGGTATACAGGACTTTCATTTGAAAGGATTGCACTTTTGGGATATTGGATAATGCTAATACCCCCCCCCCCCCCCCCCCCCTTTTCCCCACTTCCAAAAAAAAACCTAAACGCGAAAACAACATTGAAACTTTGAAGGAATTTAAATTATCTATTTACCACAATAACTGACTTGACAGCTGCTTCATTTTCCATATCTTTAACAGGTACATGCATATATTAAAAGGTTATGCATATTGTTGACAGTTATAAATCGAGATATATATACATGTAAGTAAATTTGTCCTAAATATTAACCTGTAAGTTGCTTCATTATTTTTTATTTTGCGCGTTAATGTCATCGTTTAACTGGACATTGCCGTTTTTACACACAAAATACCATTGACAAGCTGGAAGACACATTTATTATTTTTCAGTTACTATTATCCCATAAAGAAATTACGATTATCAAACAAGAAAAATGCCATCGAATTACGATTATCATCTCGAATTTTTCAACGCCAATTTTCTAAGCGCTTAGACAATTATAGTGCACCGTTACGATTCAAATATGATGTAATGGTATAGAAAAACCTTGCAGCTGTTTAACTCTTGACAACAACGGGCTACATTTGACTGAAAAGATTTTACCTATTTCTGCTGTCGCCATATTGGGATCGTCGTAATTCCAGTTACGATTATCAGTTTAACACCAGTGACATTGGGGCATTTTATGCGGACTGTACGGCATGGGATTTGCTCATTGTTCACAGCACTCTGCAGTTTTTCTTCAGTTTTATGTAATTTTCAAAAATCCTGGATCTGTTCCTGCTATATCCGTCTTTTTGGACCCTGTGGATACTTGTCTCAATGGCAATCTTTCCACATTTCTTTATTTTAGTAGCTCTTCTTTTTTCCAAAATGTAAAGCTGGGGATACTATCAAATGTAGAGATTGGAATGATTTTCTAAAAAAATTATTCATGAGCCCTTATATGCAGTTTTTTGTATTTTACTTTATGCAAAGGTTGGTATGATGTTATTATGATTCCCCTCATGATTTTGATAATTGTGTTTGATATTAAATTTTTTTCCAATTATGCCTACACTACACCTTTATGCTTATACAGGCATTTTTTACTGTAAATATATTTGGCAATATGATTTGTCTAATTTGCTGCTACACTTTATAAGCCTGATGTTTTCTGGTTGCGGTATTCCATTCCAATCTAGGAGCATACTTGATTAATATTTATTAAGAAAAACAAAAAATGATTTTTTTTTTATTTGTGACAAAAAATATAGAAACACAAACAGATTGTTTAAGCTCTTTTTAATATTCTTTCCCTTTAAAAATGACAACATTCATATCAATAACTTATCTCTCTAAATAACAAACATACATGAATGGTCCCTAATGATAACATTAACATAAAATAAAATAAATACAAAATATTCTAAAAAGTCACCACTATAAAAATCTTTTTTGTTTAAAATAAATATTATAAAAGTTACAAATCAAATTTTTTGATTTGTTTTAGTAAATGTGGATGTCTTTTCACTGCATTCTTTTTCCCCCATCTAGTTTTACCAACAAAAATTAATGGCTAACTGAAAACTTATGATTCACAACTATAGGCTAAAATCTTTGGATTTGTATTCATTGATATCAATTGTGCAATTTATAAAAAATGTGATTCAACCAGAAAATTTTGATATTTTACTAATGCATTAGTGTACATCATACAAGTTGATAATCATTCTTCCAAAATTGCCTGTTCATTAAAGAAATTGGACTTCATATTTACTGGAATGTACTGCAGATTATGGAGATATCTCCCTTTTCAGAATTTTCCACAGTGCATTTCACTTAATTTATATCTCCCATGACATGGGTAAAAGTAGAAATTATGGGTACTTTTAAATATAACGTTACATTCTGAATAAAATATCAAATATTAATATGCGAAGGCTTTCCACCCAATAATGACCTTTTGTATGATTTAGTTTAGGAACAAAAACATTTTGAGCAAAAACAAAGTCTTTTAATTGGTTATAGACTCATTCCTTTCATGTAAATAAACACTTCTGTAAAGGCACCCTTCATCACAGTCAACTTTGTAGAGATTCATGAATTTAAAAGTATGTTTTTGTAAGGCAATCAATTCAACTTGAATGAATTTCAAATAAAATAATTCCGTAGTAGAGAATTGATAAGAAGTAGTGGATTCGTAAACGATAATCAACGAGCGACTTTAGTCGCAAGTTGATTATCGTTTCCGAATCCACTACTTCTTATCAATTCTCTAGCTTAACCCATTTCTATTAAAACGACTGCCTGTTTTACGTTTTGACAATGAATCAACGATATTTCATAAAAATAGTTTAGTATTTTGTCTTTTTTATTCTATAATAGCTGGAAATGATTATATCCACACGGTTCGCATCTATAATTAGACATTTGACAAGTTAACATAAGTTTAAGATAACTTAAATGGGGTGTTAGCTCCCCTTTTTAACACCAGATTTTAGTTTTGTATATACATATTTCATTTAATGTTTAATCATTACAAATTATTTATATTGAATAGATTTTGGTATATTTAATTTATTCAAAAAGACATATATTAATATACAGAATGTATTTATCTTGTTTTGAAAAGTTAAAAAAATTTAATTACCAAAATTTAGAACCTTCAAAATTTATATATATAATATTTAGCAACATGTTTTGGTTAATTGAATACTAAACACCGTTAAGCCGTTCTTAGTCAAAAAAATATTGATAAGGTAGATGCCATAAATCTGCAATTTCATAATGCTCAAATTCATGTTGCTTTCCTAAAGTATTAAAATTATGTGCTTACGATTTAAATTGAACAATTATATTCAAATCTGTTTAAGCTGTTTCCGTTTCATTAAGTTACGATTATTTTAACGTTATTACATTTGGCATATATCGTTCACCGGTAAATAAACTACTTTTATCTGAGGTACGCATTCTGAATCCCCATCAGAATTGCTCTTGCTACGGATGTACAATGAATAATTATCTTGATTTCATAAACTTACCATCAAGCTGTTCGTAGCTGTGATCGTCTAGTCGTTGGTAACGAATGTCATAACGGTGATATTAACAGTGCAAAGTTCGAACCTTGTATCCGGAATGAAATTTTTTCATTGTAATTTTTTTATCGATAAAAATAGTTTTAATCTTAGAGGTATTATATACTTCATTTTCATTTAAAGGCGATGATTTTGTTTCTGGTTTTACAGTCAAAGAAGTAGTTTAACGGTCGTAGCTTATATATCACACTTTACTCAAATTAGAGTCCGTTCAATGTTGACGTGATATAAATAAATTTGAAAGGAACATGAACAAATCCAGACATAGTATATATATTTTATTAGATAACAAAAGCGAATTATCTCTGAGATAGAAATACAGTTGATTGACATGTATTGACAGTTGTGCGCTTTAAGAGTGTTATTTAAATATTGATTTATGTGAGCACTCGTGGTATAGTGGTATCATGCATAGACTGAAGACTCTACTGATTATGAAGAAAATACGCGCGAGTTCGAACCCTTCATATGCCACTCGTTTTTGAGAGGATAAAAAATCGTAAGTTAAAAGTTTAAAGTTATAAAATAAGTTATCTTAAGTTAACGAAGTGGTCAGTGGATTCTTGAAAAATAATCCACTGTAAGAACAATAGAATGACGTCAGAGAAATGGGTTAATTCATGATAATAAATGCATCTACTGTTGAACACACAATAGTTGTTTATATTCCAAGTAAAAATAATTCTAAACTCAAAAATTTAGCTACACATTCTACTACAATATTGAAAATTAATCAGTCATACATTTAAAATACATATTATTCGCTGAAGAAATATTTGGAAAATGCAATATTCAGAAGTAAATAGGATTTCCATTACAAATACCCAGAATATTTTCACAAATTATGTATGTATAAAAAACCCTTTAACAATGCACTTGTCTTTAAATGATGAAGCATATTAAAAAAAAAAAAAAAAAAAAAAAAAAACAGCTGAGGATGAAAAGCCCTAGATCTGATAGGATACTAAGAACAGTTATGTCATTGAAATTTGAACTTTAACTATATCTCAATTCTGTAGATGAAGGGAAAAAATTGGTTAGGTACATTACGTCATTTTTCAAGGAATTAACTATTTGTTTCTGGTTCAGTCATATTAACAAAAAAAATTTTTAAGGTTTGTATGCAATAGTTCTCCTTTCATAAGGTTCATTTCAAAGGAGGTCACCCCTCCTAATGGCTTGATTGTCCATAATATCAATTTTACGCGATAGATTTTTTAAAAACTTATAATTTGACCAATAACCAAAAACTATCCCTATTTATATGGATACATTTTCTTTACCAATGTTGTTACCTTTTTGAAAGTGATAATACAATGATGATTTAGATATAAATATGGCACTGACAGTGGTCTAAAATATGAAATAAACAAAGTATATAAGCATTGTTACCATTTTAGGGGAAATTTTGATATGAATAAAGGAAAACTTTTAAACAACTAATAACTATATCTATTAAATACTATCTAACTAAATAAGCCATGCATACACATTAAGTTCAAAGATCTTTTTTGATTTTCTTAACAAAACTTGGGCACTGCTAACAAAGCATAAAATAATTATATATAATAACAACAATAAATATAACGTGACACCTACAAGTATATGTATATGCGTAAAACTAAAATCTATTTTTAAAACAAAATAACACATAATATGATACTAATCAATTAATAATAAGCTTATAATCAAATATTTATAACAAGCACGTAACAATAAAAATAAAACTATACATATGATAACCCTTAAAAATAAATTATACACAACAGTTTTAGGTATTTAGGCATTTTAGCTAAAATCTATCAGGGAATTTTATATATTGTAGTAAGTCTTTCAATTGATTGTGATTTTTTTTATGAACATGTTATCAACCATCTTCTACTTATTTTTGAAATATTTATTTGAGTTTTAGAGATTACATGAATACTGCTAGAATCATGATAAATCAAAACACAAAAGGAAAAAAATCTACAAATTATATGTATCAATTAGACAATGTATTTTTACATTAAAAAAGTGATCCTTCCCTTTCAAACTTAACTTATACAGAAAACAATTGCATGAAGATAACTGAATATGCAAATTTCTGTGGATTCATTATAATTAGTGGGATATTAATTTTTTTTGATTTTGTAGGTACAGGTAAACTAAGAATTTAAAAATTCAATGAAGTTTTCCTCAAACACCATAAATTTTGGTATCCACGAAAATAAATGAATCCACAGTAATACCAAATAAATATGTGAAAGATATAACAAATGAATATTTAGAATTAAAAAAAAAGAACCGCATGAACATCACATGCACAATCATATTAAATTCTGACCAAGGATGGCTACAGCAAATGTTAGACAGTCTTTTAAGAAAAGTTCATAAATAACGAAACAACTTTCTTACATGCTACAATTCTTTTACAGCTAAAATACTCCAATTACTTAATGTTCTATGCTTTGTGATACATTTATACAGTGATGTGTTAATTTGAGTGTTAGAAATCATTTTTTTATACTATAAATCTTTTCTTGAATGATCTGTAAATATGTTTGATTGTTACACCACACTCATTCAGGTGAAATCAATATGGTAATATCCATTGCACATAAGTTATCTTAATTGCGATAATATCATAATTATATAGAATGATGTAATACAATACATTTTTGCTATATCTACTTACATACATATAATCTTTGCTAAATAATGATGTTTCCATTTAAAGGCAGATCTACTTCTGTTTAGTTCTAAATATAGATGTGTTTTCTATTAACCAAAGAAACTCTTCATTATTAAAAAACTACTGTAAATTCAGAAATTATTGCAAGGTTTTTATTAATGCGAATAATGCGACTCCTTGAGTAACACAAAAATAAAAACTCGCATTCTGATATCTGTTGTGTATATCTATACAAAGCTTTAAAATCGCAATAACTAAACTCGCATTTTTGTTCATTCTGGAAAAATCGCAATAATAAATGCACACAATAATTTCTGAATTTACTGTATAAAGATTTTTCTACTTTTAACCTACACTGTAAATTGTAGATGTCAATTAAAAATAGAAATCTTTGCTCGGCTACCTTCTTATATTTTAAGCCTTAAAAAGAGAGATTGTTTTCTCTGAAAATACTCTCATATTTCAGCATACGAAAAAAAGTCTTATCACATTTCAAGTTATTTTTTTTTTATTAATTTTGAAGAGTCTTGTCACTATATCATTTATTTAGTTTTAAATAACTTATAAGATATTTAGTATAGAATAATATTGACTTTTTCAAAACCTTTTTATTTTGTTTGAAAAAAAAAGAAGTTCAAAATTTATTCATTGATCTTGAAAGTAAGTATAAACAGCATAAATACTTCTGTGTTAAGGCAGTTTGATAGGGATCAAATCAGGAATACAAACAAAAAGGTAAATAAATAAAGATAAAAATAAATAATAATTTGGCTATTCGTTTAAAGGATATAACACAAAAAATAGTTTTAGAATAAAAGGCATACATGGTACTCAACTTGTAAGTATATACTGAGATAAAATGAGATCTAAATAATTATAGATTTTATAATGTGATAATACAATGCCGAAATTAATATATGGCAGTGTACACTTACTAAAAGTCATGTCTCAAAATGAAACAAAGTGTAAACTAAATTTACATTTCCTAAATGGCATGACCACATTGAAACCTGTCACATCCAACACAAGGTTAACTAAATGTACACTTCCTAAAACCTGTCAATATCAACATTATAGTAGACTACAATAAAATGCTCCGCTGGGCGCAGCTTGATACGACCACAGAGGTCGAACCCTGAACAGTTGGGGTAAGTATGGACACAACATTCAAGCTTGATACAGCACTGAATTTGGATTGTGATTAAATATTTGACACAGCATAGGTTTCTGACACAGAATGAATGTGGTCTAAGAACTTTATTTGCTTTTATATATAAATCAGAAATAACCAACTTAAAACTGAAAATTTTAAAGAAAAAAAAAGGAAAAAAATCCCCCCCCCCCAATTTTTTTAACCCCCTTATGATTCATTACCCCCAAACTCAATCCCAGCCTTCCCTTTGTGGTATGGTACCTTGCAGTACAATTTCAGAGAGATCCATACACTTGAACACAAGTTATTGTCTGGAAACTAGAAAAATGCTTGTTTTTTGGCCCCTTTTTGGCTCCAAATTCCTAAATGTTTACGGCAATTACCCCCAAACTCAAACCCAGCTTTCCCTTTGTGATATGGAACATTGTAGTACAATTTCATAAAGATCCATACACTTACACACAAGTTATTGTCCTGAAACTAGAAAAATGATTGTTTTTTGCCCCTTTTTGGCCCCTAATTCCTAAAATTTTGAGGCAATGACCCCCAAAATCATTCCCAGCCTTCCCTTTGTGATATGGTACCTTGCAGGACAATTTCAGAGAGATCCATACACTTGAACACAAGTTATTGTCTGGAAACTAGAAAAATGTTTATTTTTGGCCCCTTATTCCTTAACGTTTCATGCAATTACCCCCAAACTCAATTCCAGCTTTCCCTTTGTGATATGGAACCTTGTAGTACAAGTTCAGAAAGATCCATACACTTACACACAAGTCATTGTCATGAAACTAGAAAAATGCTTGTTTTTTGCCCCTTTTTTTGCCCCTAATTCCTAAAATTTTGAGGCAATTACCCCCAAAATCAATCCCAGCATTCCCTATGTGATATTGAACCTTGTGGTACAATGTCAGAGAGATCCATACACTAACACACAAGTTTTGTCTGGAAGTTACAAAAATGTTTATTTTTGGCCCCTTTTTGGCCCCTAATTCCTTAACTGTTGGTACCATAACCCCCAAAATCAATCCCAACCTTCCTTTTGTGGTATTGAACCTCATGGTAAAATTTCATAGAGATCCATTGACTTAAACTAAAGTTAGAGTGCGAAAACCAATGTGTCTTCGGACGACGACAACGACGCCAACGTCATACCAATATACGACCTCAAAAAATTTCGCGGTCGTATAAAAACTAACATGTTATCCATTTATATATGGTTAATATGTCACCAGAATCTTTAATATATTAGACAGATTTCCGTGTGCATAAACAATTGATGTATCTTTTTCTTTTATAAATATTTCATCAAGTCTAATTCCAAATCATTAATTTCCAATATACTAATTTACATTATAAATCTCATCAACTGGTCAAAATGTGGCAAATGATGAGATAAAATAATCATCAATGTTTATCAAATCTATGTTAAAAAAAAAAATATTTTGGAATACAATTTTAAGAAGTGAAGTTATAAAATTCCAAATCTAAAACTGATCTTTGAATTCTGTTTTGACACAAATTTATCCATATAAATGAAATCTAACCAATATAAACCTTTATCTTTCTTTGTTACTTGAGACAAATATTGCAATACAATGAGTCAAAAGAGTCACTGATCATTTTCGCCTTCCCATGTCTGACTACTCATATAACAGCTTAAAATGCTCGATTCTGGTTGAATCTAACCTGATTTATCACTCATTGCACTGCTAGAGTCTTCATCTGAATCTTCATCTTCATCGTGATAATGTGTTACTTTGCAGGGCATATTTGCATGAAGATGTGGAACATTATTCTGTCTCATGATTTTCGTTGGGGTTTCAATGTCAAAATCTTTAGGTCGCTGTCTTAAACCAAGGCTTGTGTCACCATCTTCAACTGCATAATGACGATCATGATCTACTGTTGACTCGTGAGGCATCTGTTTTAAAAAATAAAGTTTAAAAGTGAAACATGTCTTAAAATACATATCCATTGAGAGAATACCCTATTGTGGAAAACAATTAATTACTAGACTACACAATTCATACAAAATATGTACGAAGCTTTCCTAGGAAGAAGTATGTTGCCTGCTGTTTCCAAATAATATAAAATAAGATGATGTGGTATGATTGGCAATGAGACAATTATCCAACATGGATTTAAGTAATTAAAGGTCGCAGCACAACCTTCAACAATGAGCAAAACCCATACCACATAGTCAGCTACAAAAGGCCAGGACATGACAAAAATCCATGGGAAACCCCTAAAATTGCAGGTGCACAACTGTATGTCATGTAGAAGCACCAGTTCAAGTTATGTGGAATTCAAGCTTTTTTCAAAGAGTTAAGGATTTGGGGAAGGCCAAGGGAAATACTGTTGTAGACAAATACCAGCATAGCAGGTGCCCTGAACATGTATGTTTCGGAAATCTGTATATAACTTACCAGCATAGATGGTGCCCTGAACATGTATGTAAATGGATAATGGAGAAGACTTAGAAGATTCGATGTGTATAAATCTGCATATCTCTGTACTTGTGCTGAGAAAAATGTCTGTCTAGAACCTAGAAATACAATAAAATATGACATAATTTGTATTTTGCTTGTATGGTATAGTTATTGGCACCATAAGTGCAAATCATACACTATCATGGCAGTTACACTAGCTTTATATTGCAATAACAAATTTTAGAAGAGTAGCTGATATACTGTGTCATTAACATGTATAAGTAAATCGAGCAATCCTGTCAATTTGGAAATAACAAATGCAAAATTTATGATTTTAACAGGAGCTGCAGTAGGTTGAAGGTATGTGTGCAGCTTCAACACTTACATATGCTATTTTTTCACTGATGACTCTTTTTGACTAGTATAAGTTGTGTGTACAACAAACTGCATGGAAAATACCAGCTTTCTATTTCATATATATTATAAGAATAACAGGAAGTACCAAAAATAGGATAAAACCGACCACTTTAACCATAAACATTGTACTACTCATAAAAATTGACATAAAAACCAAGACAAACAACAATGAGCTACAAATGGTCCAGATAGCAGGACATGGTACTGGCACAAATAGTGGTGGGGATTAACCAGTTCATGTGGGCACAAACAAGATACAAGAGGATCTATATAACTAACAAACAAATTCATGTACATTGTTTCCAGATAAAACATATCAGTAGAAAACTTTTAACCAGTTATTGCACTGGCTCTAGTCCAGCATTCATGGGGAATCAAATAAGATACTGATAAATAAAAATTTCAAAGATTTCTAAACCTATATGGCCAACTCATATTTAACTTGTTGTAAAGGGTGTCTGTAATTTCTAGTAAATATTGCTACATAATATTTTGTCACATGACATGTAGAAACTGAAGTACATCAGATTTAAGCCTCTAATCTTCATATTATACAATTTGAGTGCAGAGAACCTGAATAGAGCACTATTGATAATAATCAGCACAAAAAAACACAAAATATTTTGGCAGTTCATCCCTACTCCCCAATCTATATCCCTAGATCTAAGGATGAGAAGCTCTGATGTTTATACAATAGCATACTGCATTAAATGTTCTTCTCCAATTCTTTCATGAAAATGGAGAGGAGCAAGTCATAACAACTTTGACCTGTATGTTGTAAGAAGGACAAATCTTGAAAATTTGATAAAATTGACATCCTTTTATAACAATAGGAAAAGCCATAAACATCTTTCACCCAACTATATATAGGTACATCATTAATTACTCTGTAAATATCCCTGTAAATAAAATATTATTTAATTATGACATCTTCGTACTGTGGATTTATTTATTTTTCGTGGGTTCAAATTTTTGTGGATTGAGGAAAACTTTTATTTCGTGGACATTTGATTTCTTCGTTTTGCCAAAGTCTGCATAAAAACCTTTAGAAAATTTGTACTTCTTCCAACATTGAAATTCATGGTTCCCCTATACCCAAGAAATCCACAAAAATTGGTATCCTACGAATAACAATGAATCCACAGTATATTAATATGCAGCAAAAATAACCTCAAAATCTAAACTGAATTATACTGACCACTTCTGAAGATACTCCCCAACATTCCATATGAAAGATCTAACTTGTGGACAGTTTCCTAAAAATAACATAACAAAATCAAGAATAGAGCATATGAATTTTACTTTGTAAGTTTAATCAAACTTTTGTAAATATATTCATTTAATTCTACTTCATCAATTATAATGAGATACCATATCAAGACCAGATTTGTTCATAATAAAAAATACATTTGCAATTATCTTGTGTGTACTTAACATAAACTTAAACATAAGTATTTCTTATTAGCATAAAAGCTGTTATGTACACAAGATAATGCTTCATAGCCGAATGAAGCACAAAATAACAGCTTCATCAAAGAGTGTCCCTACTTCATGCAAGATGTACCAGTACTGAATCCTCTTCTATAAATTATCTCCCTTTATACACTATATGTGTTGGTTTTTTAAAATTTCTAATGGAGCACCTACCATCATTTCCTTTTTGTATTTTGATATATCTGGTATTTCTCTAGTACTACTGTCTAAATCTCTGTATATAAAAAGTATAAAATTATTTAATATATGTGTATATATTGTAAAAAATCTACATGAAATGTGAACAAAATTGAAGGCATTATTTAATATATAATAGTTATCAAATTATCTTATCAAAAATTATATATAGTAATTCAACAAATATTGATGTTGATGTTTTAAGTATTGCATTAGCTTATGATTGCAATTTACCACATGCAAATCATTCTTTTATTAGTCAGGGGTGTCTGTCATTTACTACTTCAGAATCCTATGGAAAAGTGACTCTTTTTGAAACTGACACAGAGCACTTCTATTAATTTCATTCTTTTTTGTTAAGTACAAGTCAAATATGTTGTATTCTATGTCTTGTATAGTAACACATAATTACATTTTTTCCACTAGTCAGGCAACTGTGCTGCCATCTAAATATATAGCACTGTAAAGCTGAAGCAGATTTAAATAATAAAGAAAAAAATATAACTATTATCAATTAACATTCAAAGAGGAAAGCTATTCTGTGAATAGATCTCAATTGATTTTAATAAAAGGATGCATAAATTAGAAAAATAAAATAAACAAATTTAACAAGCATTCTGTGAGTATTGCATGGCAATACATAGTCCCCTACCAGGTTAAACATTCATTGTAATGGAGCAAACCTACCACTAAATTCTTCAAACAATTTACTAAAGAAAAGGAAAAATATCCAAAATGTCATTTATCTTAATACAATGTCTTTTACAAATCTTTAAAAAAAAATGAGTTATTTTCCTTTTAACAGAAATCTAGTAATTAATAAGTATTTCATAAAAAATTTAATTCTAGGGAAAGTTAAAAAAATGAGTTATTTCCATTTGAACAGAAATCTAGTAATTAATAAGTATTTCATCAAAAATTTAATTCTAGGGAAAGGGCTTTAACTGAACAAGGAGAAAAGCTAAAATCGTGAAAATCAAACTTGACTTGTAACTTGTCATGATAAAACAATACACCAAATATCAAATCAATATCTTCAAGCATAAAGAAAAAAAGTCTGGAAAACTGATTTGCCGGACTGACGGATGGACAGACGGACGGACGGACAGACAGACAGAGTGAAAACCTAAAGTCCCCTTCGACTTCGTCGGTAGGGGACTAATAACTGAATTGAAATACTGCATCTGTATTAATATTTATATACCGGTACTAGTATTAATTAAGTGATTCCAACAAAACTTCTATGCATACATGCCGAATGCAGAATTTTCCTATGTTAGCCGAGTCCGTTATCTGTCTGTAGTTATTACTGTACTTATAAGGATTCCAGTCATTATGAGTCAGCCTTAGCAACCAGTGCTTAATATTTGCAAATTGTGGATGCCAAAATTTACCAGAGCGTACAAGTCCACAATGTTTAACATGAGATTTGGAAAGGAATAAAATGTTTATACTTCAATAAATGTGTTAAGCAGTGATTAATGACAATTTTAATGAAGGTATAACAAAGTAACAAAGTCTTAAATAAGACACCAGGTAGGTTTGCAAAAGCAATGTTCTCTTGAAAGAATATTCTATAATTTAAAGCTTTCACTTTGTTTGTTTAGAAATAAATCCTCTCTAAATTTATTTACCTAAACATAAAAAAAAAAAAATGATGTAATATCCGAACTGAGAATAACCTACCATGTGATTGTTGGTTGGAAAACCAGGACAACATGCTTTTGTTTTTGGCAGTCAAAGAAACAAAATGTTGGATGGAAAAGCAACTTCATCTAGTCACCCACTAGCGTGAGCCAATGTAAACCATTGATAATTCCAAATGGATACCTCAAAAGGGGCGGCCTTTAACATCTGAATTAAAGTATTAGTTACAAAAAGGAAATTATTATTCTGCAAATTTACATGTCATCAATTTCATCCATAATTTTCAAGCTCCATCAAATCATACTTAGTATAATACTGACTTCTTTTTCTTCCTCCTGAAACCAGTACCTAAAACCCTAATAAATGCTTTTCTGATCTTTACACATACCTAAAAGAATCTGCCATTTCACATTCCAAGTTCTCTATCTGATCAAATAAAGATTTCTGTTCAGTCCAAACTTTTAGCTCCTGTGCCATTTCTGGAACAACCAGGAAAGTCCTCCATCCTCGTTCCTTCTTAGATTTTAGTATGTCACCAAATATATGGTCTCCTACATAAAGCACATCTTTACCCTTGGCACCAACTAATTCTGAGATTACATCAACTGAACCTAAAAGTTATATAGATAAAAATACAGCACAGTTTTATCATTGTACCAATTAATTCAGAGATAACATCAACAAAACCTCAAAAGTTGAAAAAATTTCAAGGAACTGGAAGTGAAACAGTTGAACCCAATCGATTCTCAACTTTTCCCACACTGCACAGATTTTGGGTAAAATACCTTAAATTTCCCCTTATATCAAGACGCTACTTATTTGACATTTGCTGTACAGTCAACACACAATATATCTCAAGTATCCTCCCAATTATAATTTTTACCATCAATTTCTAATTTTTCTTGAATGACAGAACAAGGTACAAATAAATGAATAAATAAACTGTTATCACAGAGATATGTCTTGCCTTTTTGTAATTTTGATAATGCAAATGTTGAAATTAAAATAGCAATACTATTCTACTATAACATGTAAGTTATGCAAATATTCAAAGTCGATGAACCATGGCTGAAGGTACATGGCTAAACAATCTCCATGGAATGAGATGTGCCAATGCTAATACAACTGCATACCAAATACCATTGACTTATTATAAGTCGTTCCCTTTAAACAAACCTAAACACAAACATTAACTTGTAAACTATGTAAAAGTTTCAAAGTCAATGAACCATGATCAGGGGTGGGGCTATATAATCTCCATGGAAACGATACTTGCAAATGCCAATAAATTTGCATACCAAATATCATTGACTTAACATTAGCATTTCATCTTAAACTGATCTAATCACAAACTAATACATGTAAACTAAGCAAAAGTTTCAAAATAAATAGACCATGACTGAGGAGGCGGGGCCAAATATTCTCCATGGAAATGAGATGTACTAATGCTTATACAACTGAACACCAATTAACACTTGCCTACCACTAATGGTTCCCCTTGAACTGACCTAATCACAAACTTATACATGTTAACTTAGCAAAATTTTCAAAGTCTATAGACCATGACTAAAGGGGAGGAGCCAAATAATCTCCATGGAAATGAGATATGCCAATGCTTATACAACTGAACACCAATTAACATTAGCCTACCACTAATGGTTCCCCTTGAACTGACCTAATCACAAACTAATACATGTTAACTTAGCAAAATTTTCAAAGTCTATAGACCATGACTAAAGGGGCAGAGCCAAATAATCTCCATGGAAATGAGATATGCCAATGCTTATACAACTGCATACCAAATATCATTGACCTACCACTAGTGGTTCCCCATAAATTGACCTAATCACAAACTAATACATGTAAACTATGAAAAGTTTCAAAGTCGATAGACCTTGACTGAGGGGGCGGGGCCAAATAATCTCCATGGTAATGAGATGTGCCAATGCTAATACAACTGCATACCAAATATCATTGACCTACCACTAGTGGTTCACCATGAACTAGACCTAATCACAAACTAATACATTGTTGACGCTGCTGCCGCCGCCGTTGCCGGAAACAGCATACCTATGTCATGCTTTTTGACTCCGTCAAGGCGAGACAAAAAATGTGTGTAAGGTGTAAGTCAGACAGCAACCCAAGAAACAAAAAAATGTTCATTAGAGACAGGTTCCAGGTTAAGAAAGGGCTCTGTTTAGACAGGTTTCACTGTAAATTACAACATAAATTGCATAACAAACTGTTAATAAACTTAACATTTTGGCTTGATTTATCAATTAGTTAATGAACTACCTTTCAGTAACTGCAAGTACTCTTAATAGATCTGTACTTGTGTCTTTTATCTTAATGTTAGTTGTTTCTGTGCCTTAAGTAAATGTGATAAGTTAAGCCATTTCCAACTGATTTTTAGTTTGTTCTTATTTTGTGCTTTTATACCACTGTCTGAGGTAAGAGGGTGTGTTGAGTGTTCACAAACATGTTTAACCCCACCATATTCTAAATGTGCCTGTCCAAAGACAGGAGTCTGTAATTCAGTGGTTGTTGTTTTTTTTCATTTGAATTATTTTACATTTTGTCATGTGAGGGCATTTTATAGCTGACTATAGGGTACGGGTTTTGCTCATTGTTATTAGAGGCTGTACAGCGACCTTTATTTCTTAAATCAACGTTATTTGGACGGATAGTTGTCTCATTAGCAATCATACTAGATCTCCTCATTTTATATTTTTATTGACATCATGGAGATTCAATACAGGAAAAACAAGTGAAACTGCAAGCTACTGCTCACTGAAGATACCCCGCCCAAATATTTAGGTAAACAGGAAGTTGTTGAATGATGAATCTGAAAACACATCACACTGTATAGCTGACTTATATAAACCCTGAAACCAAATTTCAGAAATTCTTGTATTGTAGTTCCTGAGAAAAATGTGACGAAAATTTTCAACTTGGCTATCATGTGTAAAATGATACAAGTGTTTGGTAAACAGGAAGTTGCTGAGAAAGATGCGACGAAAATATTCATGGGACAGACGGATGGACTGACGGATGGATGGACTGACAGATGGACAGACAGACAGAGGTAAAACAGTATACCCCCAATTTTTTAAAGCAGGGGTATAATTAAATTGAAAGTTTATGACAAAAACTGATGATTTAATTAAAAAAATAATTGCTACCAAGCACCTACGTCTTCGCAAAATACAGATGAAAAATAAGCTGTACAGCATATTTCTCCAGCTTCCATTAGCTGGGATATAATAAATTTCCAGAATGCCCTTTTGTAAAAACTAAATCATAATTGTTATATTTTTTTCTAAATAAATCTAGTTTTGAAAGTTAAAAAGTAAATAGTGGTATTTTATTTTATCAATTTAAACAGAATGGTAGTTCCAAATCCCACTCCAACTGTTTTCAAAATAAAAACATGTATATACCTACCCCCAGAATATACACATCCTTTTTCAAGAGGTCCCATGTGGTGTCCAAGACTTAATGAACCTGTTGCCTGAAAAATATAATTCAGTACAAAAACTTCAAAAAAATTCCTTACAAGACAAAATAGCATTTAACTATAAATATCAAAGAGTACCGGTAACACCTGAGACTGTTTTGAAGGTTGCAGAGTGTGAGTTCCAACATAAAATCACTTTTGTCTCATACACATTAACAATATATGCCTTCATTTCAAAGCTAAGTACCTTGTATTAAATACAATTTTTATTACATTTATATATGAATGTAAGAATCCATGTAAACCTTAAGATCACTATTGAATAACCATCGAACATAGTCTACTACACCTTTCCTATGGATAAGAGATACTTTTTCCACACTATTATATACATACCCTATCTACTTGAACATAGTCTACTACACCTTTCCTATGGATAAGAGATACTTTTTCCACACTATTATATACATACCCTATCTACTTTACGTAAAATTGTCCCATCTTTGAAGAACATAGGTTTCTTTGCATCTACCACAACATAATCAAAGAATGTGATCCAATCTCTTCCTTTTGTCTGAAATACAAAAGGCATCCATGTACAATATTTCTATAAACTTTAAAATAGGTTTGTTAGGAAGGGGATACTATAAGTGGAAGAGTACTACAGCTACATGTAATAAATCTACTAAAAAACTAACAGAGAAATAATTTAAAATTAAAAGTGCAAATGAGCAAATAAACAAAAGATAAATAATATCAATTCTATTATAATGCAACCTTTATTATGTGAATTCAGTATATATATTTGAAATAAAACTACACCTGAAAATGTCTATGGGATAAACAATTCTTTAATCTTTCTTTAATATATGATTACACATTATTTCTTTTCATATCTGAATACCATCAAGAGACTTCAATATCAACCAGAGGCATTAGACATGAGGATCGAGGTAAGTTATCAGGATTGACAAAGAAAATGATGTAGAATACTCTCTTCAAGACACATTACTGCCGTGATCTTCCGGTAATCATTACCAATATGTCTGTATTCTTTTTAAAATGAAGAAAGTCTTTGACCGAAAGCAGATTTGAGCTGATAATTGGGCATATCAGTCTGAATTGCTGGTGTTCAGCTTTGTATGCCTTTAAGCATTCATTTTACATTGAATATTTCATCATACACTAACAGTTAACAATGGCACATTCTGGATTCTAATGAAACTAAGCAAAGTTATGTACATTTCAGGTACACATTGTGACATCATGAGCTACATATCAGTCAATAATGAACATATTGTGACATCATCAGTTGGGCATGATATCAATATCAATGCATGTTTGTGACGTCTCAATTAAATATTGCAACGTCAGTTCTATTTTGAACAACTCTGGAGATAAAAAGACATTTTTGTTGGTGTTGCTCAACATCCTCCGGTTAATTAAATCATAACAAAACATATCACTCAAATGCATGTATATACAATTGTCAACAAACTCAATGATGACTCAATATCATAATTCCACCAAAAACTCTGATTTCTATGAAAATTATTAATACTATATTAAACAGCAGATAGAAAAATTCACTTGAAACATGTTCATAAAGCGATATACTGGCAACAGCATAGCAAACTGTATAAAAAACTGTACACATCACACAATTTAAAGGGGGAAAGATTTAAAGTTAATAAAATACATGTATGGTCTATGTAGGTATAAAGCACACAGCTACATACCCCTTGTTCTGGTTGCTGAAACTTTAAATTGTCAAAAAATATGTTGATAAAGTTTAAGATTTCTTATGGAAGCTTTTAATGATAAATATGGGCACATCATACAATCTGTGTAATTCCAATTTACCGGTACTGGACGTAAGATACTCTTTACAGTTCACTCTACAGATTGTTTTTAACTGTCAAAGAATGACTTGCATCTCGGCTCATCACTGAAAACCATAAAATGAGCTTAACCCCCCTTTTTTTTATTTGGGACATTGTCTTATGTACAACTACCTACATTTTCCATTTCATATTTTATGCTACTGTGCATCCTTGATAATAAATGAAACAAAAAGATTAAGTTTCTTTCCAGTCTGAAACATTTCCAACATGTTACCATAGCCTCAACTGTTATTAACCTGAGGTATCCACTTTAGAGATTCTATCGTATTGAAGGTTTACCAGGCATTGGTTCACTGTTGTTTGTTATTAACATTGTAAAAATAATATTAAATCAACAAAATGGACAGATATAATATTCTAGCCATGCTTTCCAAATACCATATGATAATTCTATTCTACCCAAGCTTAAGCTTGGAATCAGTTTGTCAGTGATAATACTGTAAATTTCAGAAGTTAGTGCATGCAATTATTGTAACGATTTTTGACAATCATCCCAAAAAATGTTTCTGTATTGGACTGTTGTGCTACCTTTATTATGAATTTTTTGAAAAGTTTAGTTCTGACGATACTTAGTTACTTGTTAAAGCAATAGCTTACTAAGAAATATGCCTGTTAGGCAGATTAATATAATTATACAGGCTAGCTTAAAAGACATGTGTAGTAGTTATTGATGAATATCAAAGAGTGCCGCATTATTTGATGTTATGGTGTCTTTATTCATGCTTTTATCAAACAAAAAAAGTATCACCTCTTTAGTAAATAGTGGAGGACCATCCAGAAACTCTCTAGAACAGGAACCCAAAGAGCATTGCATCTTTGATATGTTGTTAAAAAGGTTTGTATTTCTTGGGATTGTAACCATCACATATCCCTTCTTTCCCCATTCACTATTTGGAAAATGATGTTATTAAATATTGTTTTAAAGATAAATATATTATGTAGAATCTTTCCAATTTTGATCAGAGTAGATTTGAAATCTTTTCCTTACCTCTGGGAAATCCAGCAAATATTCCATAATTTTCTGAAAGAAAATAAAAGAAAACAACATAATTTCTATTCAAACCAAATAAAGTGAAAACTGAATGGAAAATTACATTTGTCATACTGAATATTATAACGTGAGGCTCACTTTGATCACGGTGCATCTTCAACAATGGCCACTCTTCAACATTGTAGACTAGAATATAATTCATGACAAAAACTCTTTTTATTGATCGTGTCTTGCTATCATTTTTACTGTTTACAGTTACTCTCTATCTTCTATAACTTTTGTCAAAAAAATTAAAAAGGGTAAAAATTGTCATTTCAGGGTAATAACTACTATAAGGAGTCTACTGACAATTTCAGCTATGTTCATCTCTTTGTAGATCTTTTTTCCTGACTATTTTTGCTGTTCCCAGTTTTTCTTCATCCACTTGACTTTCGCCAAAAATGGGTGTGAATCTTCATTAAAGGGCAATAACTACAGAAAAATGACAAACAATTTTGGCCATCTTGACATAATTGTAGATCTTATAAAAATAAGAAGATGTGGTATGATTGCCAATGAGACAACTCTCCACCGGAGAGCAAATGAAATAGAAGTTTACCACTAAAGGTCACTGTACGGCCTTCAACAATAAGCAATACCCATACTGCGTAGTCAGATATAAAAGGCCCCAAAATAACAAATGTAAAACAATTCAAACGAGAAAACTAACGGCCTGATTTATGTACAAAACAAAGAACGAAAAACAAATATGATATACAGCAACAAACAACAACCACTGAAATACAGGCTCCTAACTTGGGACAGGCACATACAGAATGTGGCTGGGTTAAACTAGTTTGTTGGTGCCAAACCCTCCCCCTAACCTGGGACAGTGGTGTAACAGTACAACATATGAACAAACTATAAATTCAGTTGAAAAGGGCTTGTATGATCATTTTTGCTTTTTAAATTTCTATCCACTATACAGTTTCAAGATAATATTCCAAAATGCAAGTGTATTGTCCTTTCCATGAGAGCATACATACTATACTTACATTTGTATATTTATAATCACTGTTTGTTATAATCATTGTCTTTTGTCCATGCTGTCTAATTCTGCAATAAAAAATATTCATATAAATCATTATTTTTTTTAACAACATATGTTTATGTTATGAAGAATGCCAATTACAGTGCAAGCTATCTCTAAATATTTTTTGACTTTCAAGACATTGCTTTCATTTTCTAATGTTTTTTTTTCATTAAGACAAATAAAAAATAAACTGCTTCGCTGAGCGCAGCTAGATACGCCCGCAGAGGTCCAACCCTGAACAGTTGGGGCAAAAATGGACACAATATTCAAGCTTGATTCAGGTCTGAATTTGGATTGTAATTAAATATTTGACATATTATAGGTTTCTGAATAAATGTAGTCAAAGAACTTAAAATTGGTTATATGAATTGAATTTATATTCAATTAAAGATTTCTTGCTGTTGTGCAATAGTCCCCAATACTTAGTAAATCTGTTGTCAGACTATAAACAAATAAAGTTCAATTAATTCTCAATGTCATATTTATGGAAATAAAAAGGGAGCTTACATCAATAGATATAAACAATTCACCAAAGCTTCATGAGAATTGGTGACAGCATTTTTGAGTTATTGTCCGAAAACTGGAAAATCACCCCTTTTTTTAATGAATAAAACCCCATAACTCAGAAATGTAAAATGTAAAATTTATAAAATTCTAAAGGGAGCTTACATCAATACATACAAACAATTCACCAAAGTTTCATACGAATTGCTGAAAGGATTTTGGAGTTTTTGTCCAAAAACTGGAAAATCCCCCCTTTTTTTATGAATAAACCCTGTAACTCAGAAACGTAAAATTTAAAATTTATAAAAATGGAAAGGGAGCTCATGTCAATAGATATAAACAATTCATCACAATTTCTTGCAAGTTGGTGAAAGCATTCTTGACTTATTGTCCGAAAACTGGAAAATCCCCTTTTTTTAATGAATAAAACCCCATAACTCGGAAACGTAAAATCTAAATTTTTTAAAAAACGAAAGGGAGCTCACGTCAATAGATATAAACAATTCACCAAAGTTTTATGCAAATTGGTTAAAGCATTTTTGAGTTAATGTCCGACATGTTGACGACGGACAGACGGACGGACGGACAGAGGTATACCATAATACGTCCCGTAATCGGGCGTATAACAACATTAAATAAGTTCAAAATAATATAAAGTAAGATTAACATCAGTTTTTATTTCATTTTGAAACATATGTTAACAATCCTGTAAATAATGTAAACTTCAAAGCATCAGAAACTATGTATTGATTTAAGTCTCACATCTTTCCTAAAATATTGTAAACAAGCATTCTGAGAGTATTGCATGGCAATACATAGTCCCCTACCTGTTAAAAATTCATTGTATAGGAACAAAATACTAACTTGATCTATATCTTGTCATGGTGTAAACTATATAACAAATATCAAGTCAATATCTTCAAGCATGACAAAAAAAAGTGTTGAAAACTGATTATTTGAGCGAATTTCTAAGTCCAAGGGCCATAACTTTGCACAAAATCATCAGACCGGAACAAGATTGGAACTTGATCTGTAATTTGTCAAGATAAAACTATATACCAATTATCAAATCAATATCTTCAAGCATGACAAAAAAAGTGCGTAAAACTGATTATTCCAAGGACCATAACTCTGCACAAAATCATCAGACCGGAACAAAATTCAAACTTGATCTGTAACTTTTTATGATAAAACAATACACCAAATATCAAATCAATATCTTCAAGCGCGAAGAAAAAAAAAGTGAACAACTGATTTGCCGGACTGACGGATGGACAGACAGACGGACGGAGTGCAAACCTAAAGTCCCCTTCGACTTCGTCGGTAGGGGACTAACAAGCACTGATAATATTTCTGACTTCTCAGTCTTTAACAATTGACATGGGCTTTGACACTTATACAAACTGAGTCTTGAGTTTTAAACGGTTTTGACATATTAAAGAATATTGTCCTTGCAGGATGTTGGTGTACACTGGAAATTTTTTTTACATTACATATTTTTTCCCAATCATCTAAATACTATTTCTGAGTATGGTTGAATAAAAAAATTAGAAATACAAAAGTTCTTAATTCTCCAATTTGAATTGAAATAATTCTTTCATTTTAAGCTCTATGCTCATGAAAACATGCGTAGGCATGATATTTTAAACATCTGACACCTCGTTTATGGCCAGTGTGAAGACATTGACAAATAGAATGCCTAAATGTAAAAATGAACATAGATTGCAATCATTTTATAGTTTGTTCTTATGTTGTGCTGTTTAACCACTATCCCAGGTTAAGAGGAGGGCTGAATGCTTACACACGTTTAACCACGCCACATTCTTTTTGAGCCTGAAGTTCAGTGGTTGTCGTTGGTTAATGCCTGTCATATGTGTTTTTCATAAATTTTGTTATAAATTAGGCTGTTGGTTTTCTTGTTTGAATTGTTTCACATTTTTCATGTCTGGGCCTTTTAAAGCAAACAATAAGGTATGGGATTTTCTCATCATTGAACGCAGTATGGTTGCCTATAATTGCTTACATTTACTTCATTTGAACTCTGGTGGATAGTAATGTTATTGGCAATCATACCAGATCTCCTCATTTTTATATAGAGCATGATATGAAAGAATTATTTGGTAATTGTATTTGCTATTCTGCTACTGTAAAACTTACCTCTCCAGAAACAATGGTAATCTTTTGTCTTTGTGGACAAACTTCTCTAAGTTCTGTACGGTATGATCTTTCATGTCACCCTGACAATGAAATGAAGTGTCATAAATGAAATATTTCTCATGCACAAACTGCATTTTCCACATTTAATTTTGTTTTTGAAGACATATACAGTTTTTATAACAATTTTCTTTCTTCAGGGGGTAGGGCCAAATAATCTCCATGAAAATAAGATGTGCCAATGCTAATAAAACTGCATTACAAATATATTTCACTTACCACTAGTCGTTCCCCTTTAACTGACCTAATCACAAACAAATTTATTTGTTCATGTTTGACACTGCACCAGAAACAGCAGGCCTTGTTCTTGCCTCTGTGACTTTCTCAAGGTGAAACAAAACTCATAGTTATGCAAAATTTTCAAACTTTTCCTTCATGCACAAGTTGCTGTAGAAACTCACTTGCTAGTGATAACTTTGACAATCCATTTACTTACATGGAAATGAACCCAATCAACAGAATTTCTGATATCTTGGAAAATAGATTTGTAGGACATAAACAGGTCACCACATCTAACACCCATGTCTGATCTAAAAATAGAAAACAAAAACAACGTGCAGTTGGTCTGTATATTATATATATTTATATGTATTATAATGTCAAGGTAATTAAAATCCAAGCACAATATCTTGTTAAGTTATTTCTGAGCTATATTGTGATGTATGATCTTTCAATTCTCTGCTCAAATACACTTGTAATTCAAACTGAAATCAGACTATCAACTTTTAAATTGGACATTTTTATTTAAAAGATTTGTAACTACATGATACTATGTCCTTTGAATAATAAACTTTCATAATGTATTACAAAATAACGGTAATATAAGATAAGAAAGTTTGGCTGATATTCTCACTGACAAAAAAAATATAGTATTAGCTACACCCCATAACCATAAAGTAGGATATTATTTTGCCCCTGATGCTAACCTATTCTGTAATTGTGCACCCCAATAAAAGTTAGGCTAATCCTTAACATAACAAGATAGGACCTGTGATTTATACACAAACTTTTTGTCAAAAATGTAAAATAAGTTAATGTGATCTATTTAGTTTGGATGCTGACCTACTCAAAATTTAATATGACTTCTCCATATTTCATCAATGTGGCAGAACCATTAAATGTTCCTCCAGTGAGAATAAACATGAATAAAAGAAGATGTATTAAAGGACAGAAACTGAACAACACAATAAAACCAGAAATGCCATCTTGACATTTAAGTAAAAGAAGAATAGCAAATTCACTGCAAGATATCTATCTAAATAAGATTACCCTTATGTTTCCTATGATATTATGAGGTACATCTGCCCAAAATAAAGACTATGAGTACTTCAATATTCCACATGAACTTCTTTGAGGAAAACTAATAAGCTGTTTTAAACACAGAATTTTTCAATTGAAACTCTTTTCAATTCTTGTAACCAATACACCCACTGCTTTGTTTTGTCAATTCAAGTCCCTTGACCTAATCCTATTTGGTCTAAAAAGTAGGTGTTGTTCAGTACTCAAGCTGTCTTGATGACTTGAAATTCAAGTTATCATTGGTCATTTTTGTAGAAAGCAGACAAAATGATAATTTCTAACCAACAGAGAGGGAATGATAAGGTTATTTTTTAAACCTTGAAAAATCACTAAGTATTATATAATTTTCTACTTGAATTTTGTCTTGAAAAATATACTTTGAACCCTCTTAACTTCCATAAGTTAAGGTAAACTACAAATAAAATGCTCCGCTGGGGCGCAGCTTGATACGACCGCAGAGGTCAAACCCTGAACAGTTGGGGCAAGTATGGACACAACATTCAAGCTTGATACAGCACTGAATTTGGATTGTAATTAAATATTTGACACAGCATAGGTTTCTGACACAGAATGAAAGTGGTCTAAGAACTTATAATTTTTTAATTTACCTATTCATACATGTGATGGACTGTGAAACTCAGATCAGGAGATTGGGAAATTTTGGTCAGGAGATTAGGACTCAGATCTGGAGGTTTTTAATCGACATAAATTTTGTCGTAAATGTAACCGTGTGCTGTAAAAATGGTCTTTTAAAGTGTGTTTTCTTCAACTTTCTATCCAACTTATTATGTTTATAGTACCCTTGTACTTATAATGTTTCTCCATCTTTATATTCTACATGTTCAATCTAACATTTTTTTTTTCAGTATGTTCTTTAAATTTTTTACTTCATATTCTATAAAACAATCATTGCAACCAGAACATTTGTTTAACTATCTGCAAATAGCTTTTGTTTGCATACTCAGAAAATCATTCTAACTGTATAACAAGGGTCATAGTTATCATATAAATTTCAATTTAAGCCTTGAAAGGAAGTATAGAATCCTCAAATAATTTTCAAATTATTATTTTTTTATTTGTCCTAAGACATTTAAAATCATTTATTTACCATCCTTTTATGATTATGTGTTCAATTTATATTTTATTTATATTCTTTTAAAAATTTTCATTATTAAAAGGAAAGTAACTTAAAACAGGATAAATCAAGGGAAGTAACCCAATAAATACACAGTTTTTGTTACACAACGGCAGTTAGCCTGAGGTAAAAAATCGTTGATTACCAGTATGTTTGACACCCAAGCTGACAAGTGAAGCCATATAATTATGCATGTTAATTGATTTACAGGTAAAATATAACTTCAGGTAATGTGAGTTACACCAGATGCCTGAGATGATATGTTGGGCAGAAATTTTTCATTCATGAAAAATTTCATACACAGGATTATTTCCTCTTCAACGGGAGGTCGGGAGGAGACTCCTGAAAACGGGATTATTGTACTCCTGTCGGGAGGTTCACATGTATGCTATTCAAGCCATATCATTATTATTTGCTTTTATATATAAATCAGAAATAACCAATTTAAAATGGAAAATTTTAAAGAAAAAAAAGGAAAACCCCCCCCCCCCCCAAAGTTTTTGAACCCCCTTATGATTCATCACCCCCACACTCAATCCCAGCTTTCCCTTTGTGGTATGGTACCTTGCAGTACAATTTTAGAGAGATCCATTCACTTGAACACAAGTTATTGTCTGGAAACTAGAAAAATTATTGTTTTTTGGTCCCTTTTTGGCCCTTAATTCCTAAACGTTTAGGGCAATTACCCCAAAACTCTAACCCAGCTTTCCCTTTGTGATATGGAACCTTGCAGTACAATTTCAGAGAGATCCATACACTTGAACACAAGTTATTGTCTGGAAACAAGAAAAATGCTTATTTTTTGCCCCTTGATAGCCCCTAATTACTAAAATTTTTGGGCAATTACCCCCAAAATCAATTCCAGCTTTCCCTTTGTGATATGGAACCTTGTAGTACAATTTTATAAAGATCCATACACTTACAAACAAGTTATTGTCATGAAACTAGAAAAATGCTTGTTTTTTGCCCCTTTTTGGCCCCTAATTCCCAAAATTTGGAAGAAATTACCCCCAAAAATCAATCCCAGTATTCCCTTTGTGATATGGAACCTTGTGATACAATGTCAGAGAGATCCATACACTTACACACAAGTTATTGTCATGAAACTAGAAAAATGCTTGTTTTTTGCCCCTTTTTGGCCCCTAATTCCTAAAATTTGGAGGCAATTACCCCCAAAATCAATCCCAGCATTCCCTTTGTGATATGGAACCTTGTGGTACAATGTCAGAGAGATCCATATACTTACACACAAGTAATGTCTGGAAGTTACAAAAATGCTTATTTTTGGCCCCTTTTTGGCCCCTAATTCCTTAACTGTTAGTACCATAACCCCCAAAATCAATCCCCACCTTCCTTTTGTGGTATTGAACCTTATGGTAAAATTTCATTGAGATCCATTTACTTAAACTAAAGTTAGAGTGCGAAAACTAATGTGTATTCGGACGACGACGCCGGACGACGACGACGACGCCAACGTCATACCAATATACGACCACAAAAATTTGTTTGCGGTCGTATAAAAACACTAAAAATAGCTAGTACCTCATTTTCAGATACTCGAAATGATATTCAAATATGAGCAATAGTCTTCCCCAAAAAAGATAAACTACTACAAAGTGTCATATAGAATTGATGAAAGTGAAATACCTTTTTCGGGAAAGGCTGCTGCTCATATTTAATCCAACCAAACACTATATATAAACTGGCCATTTTTGGTCAAATAGGTCACTTATGACATAACAAATGACATTTCTACACTGAAATTACCAGACTATCCTCCTATATTTCATCAGTAGAATTTACAAAATTTTGAAAGAATAGAAAATTTTACTATTTTTGCAATTTAAGGTTAAGCAGTTGCTTTATCATACAACCTCATTTCTATTTCTTGTTCTACATTGAACAAAAGATTGGATAATGCAACATGTTAGATCCCCACTTGTTTTAAGACTGACTGACCTTGGGTTTAATGACTTACTGGTATATAGAAATTGGACCTTTTTTAAAGTCTATAAATAAGTTATTGTTCATGTAAAGAAAGAGAATATACCATCAATTTTGGGGAGCACATGAACATGTATCTATAAACTGATACACACAGCCCAACAACTAGTAGGTTAAATAACTTTTCAAAATAATTTCATTAAATCATGAAAACTAGTATTAAAAAGAAACAAACTATAGTGTTAACAAAATGTTTTCACTATATTTCATTGCCCAGTTTATTGTTTATTTCATTTTCATAAGAGCTGAAATATGTAAAATCCTCATTATATTATTATTGAATATGACTGTAGATTTTATTTGTAGATTCTTTTCTAAAAACTTTTCGTAAATTGCAAAAGTTTTGCAGATAATTAAAACTGCAGAATTCTGGTATTTTCTTCAATTATTGGTATAAAAAGTTGAAAAAAAATGTTTGATGATAAATTGGATTGTCTTCCTTATAAATAACAAAATAGACTATTAATTTGTAAAACACAGCAAAAATTAACTGATCAATGTTAGTCAAAAACTAATGATCACTAATGAATAACTCCCTCCCCACCACTTTTTAGTAGACATAAAAAACAGGGGAGAAATATTTCATTATATTCCACTTTGGCAAATTTTGACACTTGCTTATTACCGGTAAGTATCATTTGCATTCATTCTTTAAAAATATGTACAGTTTAGTTCCTACCAATTTTGAACACTTTCATGAAAAAATCTGTACCTTACATAGAAAATAAGACTAACAATTTATGAGTTTATCTCAAATATTTCTTCTTTTCAACCAGAACAGAAACCCATACTTTTTTTTCCCTTTTTAACAGCATTATTAAATAAATATTACCACTTTTTGCAGCTGCCTAATTCTTCAGTCAAAATTTACCTAGCTAAGAGCAGCTTTCATTTAGGAATATTTTATCTTCTTGTAGCTATTGAACAAGGACGATAAACAGTAATGCACAAAGTATTCTAAGTGTACGATTAACGGAATGATTATTTACTTCTCTAGTATTTCCCCACCACCTTTTTTAAGAAATAATATAACAATAACTAGTTACATTTAAGGAGAAATATACCAGAATTCTGTAGTTATCATCAGATATTAGGTTTACCTAATACTTTACCTCCAAACATAGGCATGATAGGCGACACGTTACCATGGTAACATCACCTGTCAATAGCATCAAAATATTCTCCCATGTTGTTCAAAGAAAAAATAAATATAGCAAGAATGTTCAAGACCGACAAGTAGGCAATTATCTGATCCACAGTTTTATTAATGTCAGAACTTTCTTAATTGATATAGTTTAGGCATTTGAAAATTTTGCACAAGATGCATATTGGAAATAGACCAGTAAGATCAGCGTTGGGTTTAGATGGAATTTATCTGTTTTAGGTCAAAAGAGAAACATTCTACTTGGTTTGTTTCATTCAAAGTGTGAGTAAAAAAGTTTCCCAAGATATTTAAGTTCTACTTTTCTATGACAATTTAGTCTTTCAGGTAAAGACTCTTAAACCTAAAGTTTGAAACAGTTTTTCAAATTTTGAATCTTTCTAAAGTTCTGACATCTCATACTACAGCAATAAAAAATATTTTTTAACAAACCATCTGAAGCAAAATTATGATTTTCATTTTATGAAAAGAATTAATCAAATTCTCAAATAATTACTAGATTTCTAATAATAACATTTTGAGATAAAAAAAACAGGACAATTGCCCCCATTTGTCAATTTTAAACATTCATCAAGAATTACTGACAGTTCCTAAAGCCAAGTTTCACAATGTGTTGTATTCTTTTACAACATGTCAAGCTCAGGACATGTATGTTGCAAGTGATTTTTCATAGTTGGAGGTCATATGGTAGCCACTAGATGTTCATTGTTGCTTGCAATGTAATGCATGATATTGCTGTGTATTATAAACTCCACATTTGCCTTTTTTTCACATTTGATGTTTTTGAATGAAAAATTCTACTCTCAAATTGTTCATGTAAATTTTTAAATTGTTTCAGCAATTAGAAGACTGAGAGGTTCTTTAATTCAAATATTATTGTATTGTAATTGTAACTGTAAATATAAATTTGTAGCAAAATATGAAACATACAAATTACTTCAAGATTGGAGCTGCAATTTTCAATGTGTAGTAAAAGCAATGCTTGTTTTATTATTGTATTTTGCTTCAACTTCCTTTATGGTGTAACATATTGGATTATTCCAAATAAAACAATTTTTCAAACAAAACAATGTGTCCTTTTCCAGAGAAACGGTAACATACATGATGATATTAAAATTCAGGTACTGTGGATTAATTAATTTTTTTTGTGGGTACCAATTTTTCGTGAATTGAAAAAAAATCATATTTTCGTGGATATTTGATTTCGCGTTTTTTTTCCAAAGTCTGCATACAACCCTATGGTAAATCCCATGAATAATAATGAATCCACAGTAATATGCCCTTAGCCAATGTTCCTCTAAAGGTTCAGTTGATAATATATAATGTGCCTTTTCAATGCAGCTAATATGCCATGGCATCCTGATAGTTAAATTTATATTTTTTTTACTGCACCGACTACGGAAAATTTAATACTGATGGTACATCATGCATCTGATCAGTTATAAACTTTGCAAATAAACTGAGAAAAACATACAACTACAACTGTATACAGTACTCCAATGCACACATTTACATATACAAAATCAAAAGAATCATGATAAAACTATTGGCAGGACCTGACATCAACCTACATACATTTAATGAAAAACTGTTCACATTTAGCCTAATCTTTGAAATGTAAATTCTTACAAATAAAACTTATACTAAAGGGTCCAGGAACTAACTATGGATTCATTTATTTTCATGAGTACCAATTTTCTTGGATTGAAGAAAACTTGCATTTTTCGTGGATATTTGATTTTGTGGTTTTGCAAAAGGCTGCATACATGCCTATAGAAAATCTGTAATTCTTTGACCATTTAAATCTGTGGTTCACCTGTACCCACAAAATCCATGAAAATTGGTATCCCACGAATAATAATGAATCCACAGTATATAACTTTCCATTCATCTATGATTAATATTGACTAGCATTTCGCCTAGATTCTCAAAAAGTTCATGGTGTTATTGCATAGAGTACTTTTAGCTCTATCATTTAAACTTATTGTCTTACAATAAAATGTTAACCAAAGAGCTTATATCACTCCCCTATCATTAATGAAAAATACTGACTAGCGTTTGTCCTAGATTCCAAGAACATCCTGGTGTAATTTCATTTAAAAGGGCACATGGAACTATGTAAATGTTACACAGAAAATTGAAGTTGACCTCAAATAAGAATCACATAATGTCCCTGACTACATCAAGGATATATGTGAATAACGTAAGATGAAGTGTAAACACTGATTAAATAGCAACCCAACAAGTTGACCAAAATAGACTACAGCTAAATGCTAATTGTTGTCATAACATGGCTAAATGCCAATTGTTGCCACAGGATATGTATAATCAACATTACAAGACAAGTGTCACAATTGGAGCAGGAACTACTGACCCTTTCAAAGCACATGACATCACCCTGGTTTTTTGATTGGTGTTTGTGTTGCTGAATCTTTTTTCTTTGGACTTTTGTTTGTCTGTGATCTTTTTTCTTTTGGTCATTGGGTTGTCTAGTTTATGATTGCCCTCTTGGTATCATCTCCCCTTTTTTATTTGTCTATATCTCCTATTGTTATTTGTGGATCTGGATAGAAAATGATATCTTGTTTATGAAGTCCAGATCTTTTTGGTTGAATTATTGTACTACTGATGATACAATTTGCCTATGTCAAGACAAATATATGATATAAGCACTTGTTCATATCAATGACTTGTGTTTTTGACCTCTTGAAGATCATGTTATGAATGTCGATGTCTCATTCTGCATACCTCATTTTTCTTAGTCTACTTACATAATTAAACATTTTACTTACCGTTTTTTCAAGTTATAAAAGAAATGTAAAATTGAGAAAGCAAACACATGGACCTGATTAATAACATGCACTAGATGCTTATATAAGAAACAATGATCACATGACATTTATCTATTATTAAAAGTACTCAATACTTACTGTTCATAATCTTTCTTTGATATGAAGAAATCAATCATGCAGGCTATCATGTAGGTTTCTGAAAAACACATAGAAGTATTTTGATTTAGTTTGGGTTTTTTTTACAAAAATTTTGACAAGAAACAAACAAAAATAATCATAGAACTAGATTATAATTTTACTAACCACACTAACTTGAGGATAACTTAAGTTCAGGAATACATATCTAATGGCTTGCTAGCTGGCATTAATACAGGAAATTATTTATTTGATCCTGGAAATTTCAAACTAAAATTTCAAACTAGTGTTTACTGCCTCTCCACCAAGCACAATGTATTAAGGATGGATGGATGAATGAATTGGTGTTAAACATCCAGTGGCAGATATTACATGCAGATCAGGACGAGAAGGTGGATGTGATATGATTGTAAAACCTACTTTGCAGTAGACACTCTGTTATTAATGCGCTATTTCACACGCTAACAGTCCCCAGGAAGACATATCACCCTACCCTGACACATTATTTAGAGTCCTAACTTACAAGTCTTTTTCTCTAACTCTTAAATGCTGCATCCTAAGGGGAGAAGTAGCAAATACCAGAGTTCAAGTTTTGGTTTGACCAGGCTGGGGATTGAACCCATGACCTCCCAAACTCGAGGCAAACATGTCACCATAAGACCATTGAGGCAGTTCACTGCATTTAGCCTGGTTACCTAACAGTAAGAATAATTTGTCAAGAGTAAAGTGACATTTCTTTCTGCTAACCATTTTGCCCTGTGAGCTAGCACATTAAAATCCAACTGAGCATTTCGGTCTAATACAAAGCAGGAAATCTTGATATCAATTTCACGTTATTTTCCAGAATATGTGTGTCATATTTGTTGCTAAATATTAAGCACAATCAATCATTCAATCTTATATCTGTTGATCTTATTAACCATTTCCCCATGTCTGGCAATCTGGATTTTAACTTTAAGATAATCTTTATATCATTTTCTATTTCCTGTATTTAACTTATGATATGAACTGAATGGAAGCTGCATCAAAGGCACAAACTATCCATTATCAAGAATTTGATAGTTCACAAAAAGTATGAGGTGAATATGTAAGAGGTAAAAACCCTCACTGCTTCCTTCTTGAAAAGTTCAGGATCAAATATTTTTAAGATCCTGTGAAAGTTTTTTCTCAAGATATGAAGTGAAGGACATTAATCAATCACAATTTTGCCTTTTATTTATAGTAACAATATATACTAAATTACAACATACCTGGGATATTAAATAGTGTATTCAGCACATATATCCTGTTCTCATCCAACTGTACATATTTGTTGGGATACATTTTTCCTATCTCATAGCTGGAAATGTACAAAAGAAAAGGTTAAAAAAGAAATATATAACTATCAGAGTTTTTTATACATAACATACCTATTAGATAAATCATGTCTTAATTCATACCAAGTTGTTCAAATTTTTCTAATACACACTCACATAAACTGTTTAAAGTTTACATCTTTCAAGTGTCTGTCAAAGATCAAACTAACGAGAAATAATTCATAATTAAATGGTAGCAAACCAACAATAAGTTTTGTCATTTAGAATTGTCTCTAGAGGAACATATTCTCATGCAAGCTAATATATACTGTATATGTCATTTTGTGGCCTTTTATAGCTTACTATGCATATGATTCAAATAGTTCACATCATTATGCACATATGTAATAAGTTTCAAGTTGATGAGACCACAGATTCATGATATACTATCTTAAATATAAACTATCTTAATTGAAAAAAAAAAAACCTTTTGCCTTTCTTTCCAAAAAATCTTTCTAGCTAAAGTGTATGAACGTACCTTTTCATAAACCTGAATCCATGCACAGCTACCAAGACATTACCATAGCAATCCACTTTCAGTAAAGTTCCAAACTGCCTGTCAAACCAAAGACCCCTACAATAATACAATAAACAGCTGCGCCATGAGCACATGATACGCCCGTCATCTTGTGTGTGAATTTTTATGCAATAATCATAAATAGTTTCTGACATACGGCCTGACATGCGAAAACCCCCTTTTTTATACAAAAAACTCAATATCCCTAAAATAAAATTTTGAATCAAAACCAAAAAGAATACAGATCTTTAGATTAAGATAACTAAGAAGTGTGTAAAATTTTAAGCAATAATCGTAAATTGTTTTTGAGATAGGGAGAGACATGTGAAAAACCCCCTTTTTAAAAAAAAAAAAATCAATATCTCAAAAATAAAATTTTGAATCAAAACCAAAAAGTATACAGATCTTTAGATAAATATAACTAAGAAGTGTGTAAAATTTTAAGCAATAATCATAAATCGTTTTTGAGATACGGAGCGACATGTGAAAAACCCCTCTCCCTTTTTTTACAAAATACTCAATAACTCAAAAATAAAATTTTGAATCATCACCAAAAAGTATACAGATCTTAAGATTAATATTAATAAGAAGTGTGTAAAGTTTTAAGCAATAATCATAAACTGTTTTTGAGATACAGCGCGACATGTGAAAAACCCCTCCCCCTTTTTTTACAAAATACTCAATAACTCAAAAATAAAATTTTGAATTATCACCAAAAAGTATACAGATCTTAAGATTAATATAACTAAGAAGTGTGTAAAGTTTTAAGCAATAATCATAAACTGCTTTTGAGATACGGCGCGACATGTGAAAAACCCCTCCCCTTTTTTAACAAATTACTCAATATCTCTACAATAAAATTTTGAATCATCACCAAAAAGTATACAGATCTTAAGATTAATATAACTAAGAAGTGTGTAAAGTTTTAAGCCATAATCATAAATTGTTTTTGAGATACGGTGCGACATGTGAAAAAAAACACACACCTGTTTTAGTTACTAAGTCCCGTAACTCAAAAAGTTTTAATCTTATTTTCACCAAAAAGTATACAGATCGTTTGACCATCATAAGAAACAACTATGTTAAGTTTCATGAAATTTGGATAAGTTGTTCTCAAGTTACGGTGCGACATGTTTACGCCGGACAGACAGACGGACAGATGACATTTGTATACCATAATACATCCCATCAAAATTTTGACGGGCGTATAAAAATCATAAATGGATAGTCATAAACAACAGGATTCAATATTTGACCAAAATATATTTAAGGAATTTTAGTACAGGTCAAAATGACAAGTTATACACAGATGAGGGAAAACTTTAAAAAATTCACTGACTCAATCAAAATCTTAGTCATTGATGCAATTTTTTGCTGCAGTAAAATGTTATTCCATTCAAACTTTATAATAAAACTTTGACTGCAATCTGTATAAATTAGTCCAATGATTCCCTAAATCATCCTCAATAAACATGAAATATTTGAAGATGGACATTCAGCAAACAATAATCAATCAATCAATTATCAATATAAGTTTAGCTATCTATAAAACCAGGTTTAATCCACCATTTTCTACATGCTTGTACCAAGTCAGGAATATGACATTTGTTTGATGTGTTTGAGCTTTCGATTTTGCCATTTGATTAGGGACTTTCCGATTTGAATTTTCCTCGGAGTTCAGTATTTTTGTTATTTCACTTTTTAAAAGATACTTTAAATGATAAGATTTATAAGATAATTGATTTACAGAATTTTAAGAAGAATGATCTATAGTTCAGCTGTCTAAAAAATCTATTTGTTGTTGAATTCCAATTTAAGCACTAATTTTACAGAGAAACAATTTAAATACTGGCTGATATACTTTAGAGACTATAAATGTCTTTTTCCTAGCTTTGCAAAAATCAACATTTAAAATATTTTTTTATGTTGAAAAAAATTCAAGTATAAAACATTACTTCTTTACACAACTGCTATCCCTTACCTGCAGGGAAATGCTGGATCATATTTAAAATCTTCAATTTCCTTGGGATAACCAATGGCAACAAGTCTTTCTTTCAATTTCTCAAATCCCATATCTTCATACACTGGTGATTTGTACACTAAATTTGAAAAAAAAATAATGAATAAAACCATAGTGTTCTGTTACACAACTGTCCCATGTGAGGGGAGGGTTGAGCACCCACCAACATGTTTAACCTGCAACATTCTTTATGTGCCTGTCCCAAGTCAGGAGCAAATTTTTTTAGTGGTCGTCATTGGATCGTGTCTCCCATATTTTTTTCTGCTTATTTTATTTGCATAAATCAGATAGTTGGTTTTCCCTTCTGAATTTCACATTTTGTAATGCCAGGGCCTACTACATTGTATTGGTTTTGTTCATTGTTAAAGGCGGTAAGACCTTTAGCTGTTTACATCCTCGTCCTTGGTTACTGGTGGATCGTTATCTCATTGGCAATCATACCACATCTCCTCATTTTTATAAAAATATGGCGTAATAGTCTTTTTATTGTTATCTTTTATGACTATGTAATCAAAGATTATTTATGATAAACTGATACATCCATCAAGACACTCATGGTGTTGTATTGTATTGTGAAATATTTGGTCATCTCTGTTGAACTTATTTATAATCTGCCAATTTTTTGGGCTATTTACAACCTTATATTTCTTAGTATTGGATCTGGCCCATCTGTAAAAACCTTATATTGACCTATAAATTTCTATTTAACATAATTTACATCGTTGGTTTTTATAACATAGACATGATATACCTAACCTTCCCTTTTATTCCTAATGCCTTTGTTTTGAGATCATCTTATTTTGTATGCAGTGTTACATCTAAGTTTTTTGTTATTGTTAATTGTATACCTGCGAGAGTATAATCCATATCAAATCCAAATATCTTTATCTTTGCCATGTTCAGACTTCTATTTACAAACACTCTACAAATATACAATAAATACATCCATCAATTTCTCAATACTCAACATTAAATCTTATTAAATACAAAATTTATATCCACTTATAAAAACCTCTATGTTTCAAGAACTGATCTATATTAATCTCAAAAGAAATATTTATTTGGTGAATTTCTCTTATTAAATCAATTATTCCAAAGCAGCTCCTGCTGTGTCATGATGTATATATATAAACAAGCATTCTGAGAGTATTGCATGGCAATACATAGTCCCCTACCAGTTAAAAAATCATTGTACTGGAACAAAATGCTATCTTGATCTATAACTTTTCATGGTGTAAACTAAATAATAAATATCAAGTCAATATCTTCAAGCATGACGAAAAAAAGTGTGGAAAACTGATTATTTAAGTGAATTTTCTAAGTCCTAGGACCATAACTCTGCACAAAATCATCAGACCCGAACAAAATTTGAATTAGATCTGTAACTTGTCATGATAAAAAAATATACCAAATTGGCAATTATCAAATCAATATCTTCAAGCATGACTAAATAAAATGCTCCGCTGGGGCGCAGCTTGATACGACCGCAGAGGTCGAACCCTGAACAGTTGGGGCAAGTATGGACACAACATTCAAGCTGGATTCAGCACTGAATTTGGATTGTACTTAAATATTTGACACAGCATAGGTTTCTGATACAGAATGAAAGTGGTCTAAGAACTTAAAAATTTTTAATTTACCTGTTCAAACCATATCATTATTATTTGCTTTTATTTATAAATCAGAAATAACCAATTTAAAATGGAAAATTTTAAAGAAAAAAAGGAAAAAAAATCCCCCCCCCAAATTTTTTGAACCCCCTTATGATTCATCACCCCCAAACTCAATTCCAGCCTTCCCTTTGTGGTATGGTACCTTGCAGTACAATTTCAGAGAGATCCATACACTTGAACACAAGTTATTGTCTGGAAACTAGAAAAATGCTTGTTTTTTGGCCCCAAATTCCTTAACGTTTAGGGCAATTACCCCCAAACTCAAACCCAGCATTCCCTTTGTGATATGGAACCTTGCAGTACAATTTCATAAAGATCCATACACTTACACACAAGTTATTGTCATGAAACTAGAAAAATGCTTGTTTTTTTGCCCCTTTTTGGCCCCTTATTCCTAAAATTTGGAGGCAATTACCCCCAAAATCAATCCCAGCATTCCCTTTGTGATATGGAACCTTGTGATACAATGTCAGAGAGATCCATAGACTTACACACAAGTTATTGTCATGAAACTAGAAAAATGCTTGTTTTTTGCCCCTTTTTGGCCCCTAATTCCTAAAATTTGGAGGCAATTACCCCCAAAATCAATCCCAGCATTCCCTTTGTGATATGGAACCTTGTGGTACAATGTCAGAGAGATCCATACACTTACACACAAGTTAAGTCTGGAACTACAAAAATGCTTATTTTTGTACCCTTTTTGGCCCTTAATTCCTTAACTGTTGGTACCATAACCCCCAAAATCAATCCCCACCTTCCTTTTGTGGTATTGAACCTTATGGTAAAATTTCATTGAGATCCATTTACTTAAACTAAAGTTAGAGTGCTAAAACTAATGTGTCTTCGGATGACAACGACGACGATGACAACGACGACAACGCCGCCAACGTCATACCAATATACGACCACAAAAATTTGTTTGCGGTCGTATAAAAAAATGAAGAAAACTGATTATTTAAGTAAATTTTCTAAGTCCAAGGACCATAACTCTGCACAAAATCATCAGACCAGAACAAAATTTGAATTAGATCTGTAACTTGTCATGATAAAAATATATACCAATTATCAAATCAATATCTTCAAGCATGATGAAAATAAAATGCTTCCCTGGGCGCAGCTTGATACGACCGCAGAGGTCGAACCCTGAACAGTTGGGGCAAGTATGGACACAACATTCAAGCTTGATACAGCTCTGAATTTGGATTGTGATTAAATATTTGACACAGCATAGGTTTCTGACACAGAAAGAATGTGGTCTAAGAACTTCAATTTTTTTTATTTACCTATTATGGTCCAAGTTCCAAAATCAAAATACATGGTTAGATTCAGCATATCAAAGAACCCCATATTCAATTTTTGTTGAAATCAAACAAGGTTTAATTTTGGACCCCAACTTGGACAAACTTGAAAACTGGTCCCATAATCAAAAATCTAAACACATGTTTAGATTCAGCATATCAAAGTACCCCAAGAATTCCATTTTTTTTAAAAATCAAACTAAGTTTAATTTTGGACCCTTTGGACCTTAATGTAGACCAATTTAAAAAACGGGACCCAAAATTAAAAATCTAAAAACACGATTAGATTTGGCATATCGAAGAACCCCAATAATTCAATTTTTGATGAAAACAAACAAAGTTTAATTTTTGACCCTTTTGACCTCAATATGAACCAATTTGATAGCGGGCCCACAAATAAAAAATCCAAATACATGGTAAGATTCAGCATATCAAAGAACCCCATATATTCAATTTTTGTTGAAATCAAACAAAGTTTAATTTTGGACCCCAATTTGGACCAACTTGAAAACTGGGCCAAAAATCTAAAATCTAAATACATGTTTAGATTCAGCATAACAAAGAACCCCATATATTCAATTTTTGTTGAAATCAAACAAAGTTTAATTTTGGACCCCAACTTGGACCAACTTGAAAACTGGGCCCATAATCAAAAATCTAAACACATGTTTAGATTCTGCATATCAAAGAACCCCAAAAATTCAATTTTTGTTAAAATCAAACTAAGTTTAATTTTGGACCCTTTGGACCTTAATGTAGACCAATTTAAAAAACGGGACCCAAAATTAAAAATCTAAATACACGGTTAGATTTGGCATATCAAAGAACCCCAATAATTCAATTTTTGATGAAATCAAACAAAGTTTAATTTTGGACCATTTTGACCTCAATATGAACCAATTTGATAGCGGGCCCACAAATGAAAAATCTAAATACATGGTAAGATTCAGCATATCAAAGAACCTCATATATTCAATTTTTGTTGAAATCAAACAAAGTTTAATTTTGGACCCCAACTTGGACCAACTTGAAAACTGGGCCAAAAATCTAAAATCTAAATACATGTTTAGATTCAGCATATCAAAGAACCCCAAGAATTCAATTTTGTTAAAATCAAACTAAGTTTAATTTTGGACCCTTTGGACCTTAATGTAGACCAATTTAAAAAACAGGACCCAAAATTATAAATCTAAATACACGGTTAGATTTGGCATATCAAAGAACCCAAATAATTCAATTTTTGATGAAATCAAACAAAGTTTAATTTTGGACCCTTTTGACCTCAATATTAACCAATTTGATAGCGGGGTCCACAAATAAAAAATCTAGAAACATGGTTAGATTCAGCATATCAAAGAACCCCATATATTCAATTTTTGTTGAAATCAAACAAAGTTTAATTTTGGACCCCAATTTGGACCAACTTGAAAACTGGGCCAAAAATCAAAAATCTAAATACATGTTTAGATTCAGCATATCAAAGAACCCCATATATTCAATTTTTGTTAAAATCAAACAAAGTTTAATTTTGGACCCTTTGGACCTTAATGTAGACCAATTTGAAAACTGGACCCAAAATTAAAAATCTAAATACACGGTTAGATTCGGCATAACAAATAAATAAATGTGGTCAAAGATTTTACAAATCTAATGCGCCATACTGTGCAATTAAAGATTACTTCTTGAAATTTTTCAATATTTGAAATTTGAAAAAAAAATAATATTTGAAGAATAATTCTTTTTAATTTCTGAAATCTGAAATGAGAAAAAAATTGACCCCCCACAATTTCTTTTTACCCCCCCCCCTTTTTACCCCCAAAAAATTCTTTCCCTCAAGATATGGTCATAATATCAATTCAAATTTCCAATGGAGTTTGCAACCATAATTACCCATTTAAATTTACCATAGTGCTAACTTAATCTATTTTATAAAAGAATTTAAAATATAGTGTCAAATCTTTCATATGGATTTTTTTGTAAAAAAAAAAGATGCAACATTTGCAGATATTTTTACTGGTCTTCCTTTATAAATATGCATTTCTTTAAACATAATTTAAAAGCAGTGTAAGGGAAGTAACCAAAACGTTGTATTTGGATTACCTCCCTTACACTGTTTTAAATTATCTTAATTGTTCATTATCCATTACTTTATACATAATTTTAAAGCAGTGTAAGGGAGATAATTTCAATGATGTATTTGATTTATCTCCCTTACACTGCTTTAAATTATGTTTTGTACTAAAGTATTTGTCCATTAACCAAGACAACCTTGTTTTTCCCCCTTTTTTGCCCCTAATTCTTAAACGGTTTGAGCCATAACCCCCCAAAGCAAATCCTAACCATCCCTTTGTGGTATGGAAACTTGTAGTATAATTTCAGAGAGATCCATACACCCTTCCACAGTTATTGTCTGGAAACTAGAAAATGCTAATTTTTGGCCCCTTTTTGGCCCCTAATTCCTTAACTGTTGGTACCATAACCCCCAAAATCAATCCCCACCTTCCTTTTGTGGTATTGAACCTTATGGTAAAATTTCATAGAGATTCATTCACTTAAACTAAAGTTAGAGTGCAAAAACTAATGTGTCTTCGGACAACGCCGGACGACGCCAACGTCATACCAATATACGACCACAAAAATTTTTCGCGGTCGTATAAAAAGTTCGGAAAACTGATTATTTGAGTGAATTTTCTAAGTCCAAGGACCATAACTCTGCACAAAATCATCAGACTGAAATAAAATGTGAACTTGATCTGAACCTTGTCATGATAAAACTATATACCAATTATCAAATGAATATCTTCAAGAATGACGAAAAAAAGTGTGGAAAACTGATTATTTGAGTGAATTTTCTAAGTCCAAGAACCATAACTCTGCACAAAATCATCAGACCGGAACAAATTTGGAGCTTGGTCTGTAACTTGTCACGATAAAACTATATACCAATTATC